CTGTTTCAGGAATCCCAAGTGACAGATTATTCACAAAAGGACATTATTCCTGGCATTATTATTATTATTCCTCTGTTGAGCTTCTTTCTTGACATTCTGCTAATATTTAACCTAGCATTTAAAAATTATGTTTGCTTGCCTGTTACTTGAATAACACCTACGTACAAAATATCAGAAATCCCCAATTCAGTGAATTCATTATTCACTACATTGAGGTAATCTGGCTGTTTGAGAGACATGTTACTGGGTTCTTTGTAAGTTAACCTTTATCAGGGAAAAGAGATGACTCACTGGAGATCAGGCAGGATGGCACGATACACTAGGTGTGGTAGATAGGAACATCAGTAGGCAGGTTGTGACATTTACGGCAGCAGCAAAATCAGAAAGTCAGCTCACACTAAATGTGATCTAGGATGCTCTGAGTATGAAGTTTCAGAGAAGCTTTTTTAAGTAGTAACCTGGACTAAGTAAGTGATTTTTATTAGACCAGGATGCATTTATTGAAAGAGCTAGCATGTATATCTGCAGGCTGTTATTCAGAGCTTCTGATGATGGTATTTTTTACTTGTATGTTGTGGTTTAACCCCAGGTGGCAACTAAGCTCCACACAGCCACTCGCTCACTCCCCCCACAGTGGGATGGGGGAGAGAATTGGAAGAGTAGAAGTGAGAAAACCCATGGGTTGAGATAAAGGCAGTTCAACAGGTAAAGCAAAAGCTGCATGTGCAAGCAAAGCAAAACCAGGAATTCATTCACTGCTTCCCATGGGCAGGCAGGTATTCAGCCATCCCCAGGAAAGCAGGGCTCCATCAGGCGTAACAGTTACTTGGGAAAACACACGCCATCATTCCAAATGTCCTCCCCTTCCTCCTCCTTCCCCCAGCTTCATGTGCTGAGCATGACATCATATGGTATTGGATACCCCTTTGGTCAGTTGGGGTCAGCTGTCCCAGCTGTGCCCCCTCCCAGCTTCTTGCGCACCCCCAGTCTCCTTGCTGGTGGGGTGGGGTGAGAGGCAGAGAAGGCCTTGGCTCTGTGCAAGCACCGCTCAGCCATAACGAAAACATCCCCAGTTTCCAGCACAAATCCAAAACATAGCCCCATACTAGCTACTACGAAGAAAATGAACTCTATCCCAACCCAAACCAGCCCATTAAATTATTGAAGTTTCCCTCCTTATTTGTCTGCATGCAGCTGGGCCCCAGTAAGGTGTGTTTATTGTCAAGACATGGAAGACAAGCGCTAAGCCGGGAGCTCTGCTAGCTGTAACATTGGGATGATTCCCACAGCTTTGTGGGCATCACTCTGCAGCAGCCCTGTACCTCCTGAGCCTTATGTTTTGTTCAAGGGTGAGTAAAAAAACCTGTCCATTTTAACCAAGTTGGGTCAGCAAGAAAGCAGAACCTACAGGCTGGAAGTTGTGTTTGGGTTCCCTTTGCTGCCCAAAAGATAAGGGTAAACAGGAGAAAGATACTATCGATGCTTGACAGGCCAGGAGCCAAAGGGGCACTGTGGGCTGAGCTGCAGGTATGTCTACATGGCTTAATGAGGTAGCCCAGTGCTCCACCCAGGCCAGCTAGCTCTGCTGAGAACCAGGGCACAGCTGGCCAGGTACAATTACACCACAAGCCAGCCCTCATGGTACCAGAGGTAGCTCAGCTGGAGCTGGCTCCGGTGTATTGTACAGCATCATATTGTACTGCACGGACATCTCCAGTCTTCCCATTGCAAAGCTTGGTTCTTCTGGGCCAGGACTGAGCTTGCACTAATAGTACCTGTGCTACATCCCTTCTTTAACAAAAATTCTAACAGGTCTCTCAACAGAGTCCTGTAACCTCATTTAATTCAGCGTCTACAGATACCAGCTTGCAGCACTTAATGCTAACCAAGTATCTTGCTATCTTTGTCAAAAGTCTGGATATTTATTTTACTGGAGATCCTCATCTTCTTGGCATTGTTTTATTACTATTGCACAGAGCATACTGCATACCTTGCGGAGCAGTAAATGCTACTGCATGAAGCACATCAGCACACAGTTCTGCAAGTCTCACTGGAGACACCATTACGGAGACAGACATCCAGCCAGGATCACCTTTGGTGGGTCACTCACCAGCAAACTGTGAGGGTGCCAAAGGCCCCAGATCATACTGCCTACCTGAAGGAATCAAACACCTTGAGTGACAGCTGAAAATATGTCTACAGTTCAGTCTTTACACCCTTGACCCCTCTACAGACTGTTGGAGGGCCTGCAATCCCCAAAGCGCTTTCTGTAACTCAGCCTTGCAGTTTTACTCTGATGCTATACGCACTATTCCTTTCAAAACAGCCAGTTTTGACATATCAGGACCATTTAAAAAACAGCCCCAGTCTACACAGTTACCACCCCTTGCCTTCCCCCTTCCTTGTCAGCTTGATCTGCTCTGGGGGCTCCAGTAACATCCTCCTCCTAAATAACACCAGCTCAAGCAGCTCCTGGGGATTCTCCTGGTCCTCTTTGCCTTTCCCCTCATCCCACCTCCCATGTTCCTGGCAGTCCTCAGTTAAGTTAGACCCTGCTCCCACCCCCCACAGAACAGGCTCTCAGGTAAACACTTGATCCCAGAATCACATCCACCTTCTTTCTCTCTCATATGAATAGCCAGTTTCTTTGCTCTTTGGGAATTGTCCATTCCCCTGATCTCTAGCCCTCTGAAAAGGCCTTGGATCAAACCACCTCTTCCAGGTTTCAGCTAGCACATTGCAGTTAGAGGCTCCATGCCTCTCATCTGCCAGAGACAAGCTTTAGTGTGTGTCAGCAAACCGAGCATCCCTCCTTCATGTAGGAGCATTTTGCATTACAGCACTTTCTGTTACAACTCGATAGCATAAGGCGGAGTTCAGGCATACTTCTCCAACGTCCCACAGGGGCAGGGTGATTTCCAGCAGAAAGAGTAGAAAAGCAGCTACCTCCAAAGAACATGGACGGCATGAGGGGGACCGGGAGGGCAAAAGCCCTCCTGCTGTAGGAGAAGATCAGGTTCGTGACCACCTGAACGCACGTAAGTCTATGGGACCTGATGAGATGCATCTCAGAGTCCTGAGGGAACTGGCCGGTGTAGTCGCCAAGCCACTCTCCATGATATTTGAAAAGTCATAGCAGTCAGGTGAAGTCCCTGGAGACTGGAAAAAGGGAAGCATTGCGCCCATTTTCAAAAAGGGTAGAAAGGAAGACCCTGGGAACTACTGACCTGTCAGCCTCACCTCTGTGCCTGGGAAGATCATGGAACAGATCCTCCTGGAAGCTATGCTAAGGCAGATGGAGGCCAGGGAGATAATTCGAGATAGGCAGCATGGCTTCACCAAGGGCAAGTCCTGCCTGACGAAGCTACTGACTTTCTGTGATGGTGTGACAACAACAGTGGACAAAGGAAAACCCATGGATGTCATCTATCTGGACATCTGCAAAGCCTTTGACACGGTCCCCCACAACATCCTTCTCTCTAAATTGGAGAGCTATGGATTTGAGGGGTGGACTGTTTGGTGGATAAGGAACTGGCTGGAGGATCGCATCCAGAGGGTAGTGGTAATGGCTCGATGTCTGGATGGAGACCGGTGAGGAGTGGTGTCCCTCAGGGGTCCGTACCAGGACCGGTGCTGTTTAACGTTTTCATCAATGACTTAGAGAGCAAGATCGAGTGCACCCTCAGCAAGCTTGCGGATGACACCAAACGGAGTGGTGCGGTTGACACACCAGAAGGACGGGATGTCATCCAGAGAGACCTGGACAGGCTGGAGAGGTGGGCCTGTGTGAACCTCATGAGGTTCAACAAGGCCAAGTGCAAGGTCCTGCACCTGGGTC